TGACCATTTCAACCTTGCATAGTATGCCCTATAATTATAACAACACTTACAATAGTAATAAGTGTTCTTCTTATTACTTTATCCTTGGGCAAATAATGTCTAACTACACAAGTAACTACTATATTTTTATAATTGCAATAGTCTTAGAAAACAAAGACTTATTTCTAAAAATTAGTTTTGTTGTATTCATTTGCATTTTTCATGGCTAATAAAGTGAATCTCCTCTTACTGTTACTTTGCCACAGCCCCCGTGACCTCTCACTTTGATTTGTTCAAAATGTGTGTACCAGGCTTGCAGGCCGACATTTTACTTAAACCATACTGTACATACCCCTTCCAATCTATTCACCTTGTATATGCATTTCAGCTACGGCTTTTGTCTAGCAGGTCTGAGACTTTTAAAATGTGCTTAGCAGATGAAGGGATGCATAAACCTTACTTCCAGTCTGTAAATAACCTAATGCAGCACTTAAGTGGTTTGAGAATAGACTCCTTCTGTGGGGATATGGTGTTTCCATTTGAATTGCAGAACCATTGGCAGTAATGTCACAATGAAAACAAGCAGCTGCGGAATTATTTATTTACATATTTCTAAATCATTAAAAATGGATGAGCTCCACAGATAATGCTACCATCTTTGCTGAAAGTCGTTTAGTAAATATAAGAAAAAGTGGAATTGGAGAGGGAATTGCTTCTTTCAGCTAACTTATTGTATTAATATAACTTTAGTTATGTACTGTAGATTAATACAACACTTGTAGTTAAGATTTATAAAATTTATAATTATTGTTGTAGGAATCCTAAAATTGTGATCTATTCTGTATTGCATTACTGATGCAAATCAACATTAGATTAAACAAAAAAACACAAATGGTCAAAACATTACGGTCAGAATTTCAAGCAATGCAGATGAGGAAGATGCAACTTTCCAGCCAGAGCAGTGGCTGGACAAGCTCACAATAACTGGTTGTCTCCAACACTTCATCTAGTCAGAATGGTTTTTGCAGGCTTGTATTTAGCATTTGATTTGTACTTAGGCTAAGGAGCAATCACAGAAAACAAATGTTTTAGATTCCTGAAGACTTAAAACTAGGATTCATATGATAACAATACCATAAGTACTTAAGATAGAATTTAAAAAAGTATTGTACTATACAGTACTACTGTATTCATCTACAAAACTCACTATTAAGAAAATCACTGAGTATTGTATTTCTTTTAATTAACTGTGTTTCTAATCACTGTAAACAGAATTATTATTTTTATTTCTGTTTGGTCACTAGGATTTAAATGTTGTCAAAGAGCTATCGACTATTTTTAATTGCTTGCTTTTGTATCATCAAACCATCTAACAGTGTGTGAACGTTACAGTATATAATTATTTAAGGATTATTTGAAAATAAAATTAGATTTGTATAAAACAACATGATCCTTCCCTATCCATCTGCATAAAGAAACATCACAATACTAATGTCATAATATGATACCATGACCAGATGGTACTTACAGATTGATAAAGATCAGTCATGATAAACCATATCTAAAAGCATTAAGGGAGAACAAAATGACCAGCTTGGTGTTTTATTAGTCAGCGTGTTAAGTAATGTCCAGTATTTTTTAGTTTTTTCTCTTCTTCATGCCAGTCAGATGTTATGAAGCATTTTTTCTTGATTCTTGGTTCAGACCAAACTCTCTGTCCACCTTCTACTATTCCAGATATTTCTCAGTTTTAAATTTGCTATATATATTTGCAAACTAGATTCTACACAGGGGTTTGGTTGTTAGTGCTGTCCTGGACTCTTTACTGCATGTTTGTGGGGATATTGTTGCCACACTTTTTGAGCAAGGTGATCTAACCAGATAACTCCAGCAGAACAGATCATTGTAAACTACCTAAAAAAATATAAATAAATTAAAAACAAACTACAGTATGTGGGGATTTTCAAAAGATAATGTTACTCTGTAGAACATGGGGCATGATATAATTTACTTGTTTTGATAGGAAAACTATTATTTATGTAGCAGCTTCAGTAATGAGAGAGAATGTTTTAAACCAAAACTGTTAATAAACAGTTTGATAATGATTTAAGAATGTTACAGAATGAAATATTATACTGTCATGAATATTTTGCAGTTTTTGCTCACATTTAAGTCCATAAAGTCTTCATTTTGAGAAGTTTTCAGTAATATTCACTAAACTATTCAATAAATGTTCACTTTAAAAAAAATAAGAATGCATAATTTTTAACTCATCTCAAAAATAGAACACCATTTGAAGGGGATGAATGCTTTTGCAAGGCACTGTACATTTAAAATAAGGAATACATAATATTTGTAATAATTTGTAATACACATTTCAGTATTTTTGTTGATATTTAAAATTTATATTTCCTTTCAGGGTGACATAAAATGATTTGACAAGAATAATGGTTACAAAAATATATTCTGGTATAGCTGCCTTATAAAATGAAATGTTTAATCAAATAAACTTAATGTTCATTCTGACTTTAAAAAACAAAATGCCCTTTTCAATTTGAAGCTTTCATTGTCTACTCTTATATTTGCATGATTATGTATACAGCAAGAAGCCATAATGTAATAAGAATCAGTATAGATAAAGATAATTCATCACTATAGTAACATCAAGGCAAAATCCATATTATTTCAGAAATACTGTGTTTGTCAAGGTTGCCGATTAGAAAAACATATTAACTGTGTAATGGTGACTGTGTATAAAACAAGATATTTTCAGTGCTTTTCAACTACAGGTATTGAATTATCAGAAAAAATATTTTAAACACTTACTGAATGTACTAATATGCAAGTTGCAGTATTTAGTCCATGAATGTATTTGAATTTAGGGGAATGTGATAAAATATTAAAATCTTGCATTTTGCGCCTAGGCTATGTTCCAGATGTTATATGATGCGTCACAAATTATCAGCATGTTTAGAGACCGGAGGCGGTAGTTCAAGACGCACATTGAGAGTAAAGACCTTGAAGATACTGTAGCTAATTACTTGCCTGGTGTTTTTCCTCATGTCTTCTGCATTGCTTAATCTTAATCATTTCATCAAACCTTTAATCCCATGTGTGATTCAAAGTTTTTTTCTCCTTGTGTTAACCACAGATGATGTCCTAAGACTTGGTTTTTAAGACTAGTCTTGAGACCAAATGTTGAGGTCTTGATCCTCATCTGGTCTTGTTGTGTCAAGTCTCAGTTTCATTTATAACTGTTATATTATCTTTTAATATGATTTTAATTTTAATGTATTAGAGTCCTTTTTATTATTTTAATTCCATATAAAATTATACAGTACATATTAAAACACACAGTGTAATCAGGATTCACTCTGCTGCTCCATGTATTCTAATACTTTAGCTACTAAGCTTAGCAAAATGTATTCACTCTTGCCAAAAATTAATTTTCCTCAAGTATAATAGTTAAAAGATACAGTAGAAACTAATAAGGCTAATATTAGAATTTCTAAGAAATACATGTAGAAAACCTTTCAATAGCAAAAACAGGGTGGTGCACAAGACCGTGGGCTGTTTTTCAGTTTTTAATTGCAAAAACTTGTACAATTGCTAATAAATCCATTTTATTTAAAACATTTAATATGTACTGTATAGCATGGTTTATATACTTATGTGTGTTTTACATGTCTGTGTGTATAAGAAACACATTCTAAGTGGCAACAGACAATGAATTTTATATTGTTATTATTTAAAATATGGTTGGCTTGTGCATTATCAAAACCTTTTAAAGGTATTTTTTTACTGTTTGTTCTGTATTACTGTATGTCGTTGTTTAAAATTGGTCTTGGCATTGGTCTTAATTTGGATTTCGGTCTTGACAGATTTTATATTACTGTACATTAAGATGATTTCTAAACAGATAGATTTATTTAAAAAAACAATATGTCTGATATAAAGTATGAATATATAATGAGATGCCAGAAAAAATGAAAATTAATTAAAACATTTGTTTTGATCTTAGTTGCAGAAATTTAAAAAAATGCAAGTATGGATGTAATAGCAACCATAGTGCACCAGAAGCTCACCTCAGTGGGGAGGAGAACAGAGAGATGAAGCCAATTCATACTGTAGATGGGGATTATTAGGAGGCCATGACTGAAGTCCAATGGGAAATTAGGCCACACCCCTACTCTTTATGAGAAATGCCCTGGGATTTTTAATTACCAGTTAAATTACCATTTAATGACCTCGGTTTTATGTGTCATCCAAAGGATGGTGCCTTTTTACAGTATAGTTCCCTGTCACTATACTGGAGCATTACGACACAACTAGACCACAGGGTGAGCACCCCCTGCTGGCCCCACTAACACAACCTTACAGCAGCAACCTTAATTTTTCCCAGGAGGTCTCCCATCCAGGTAGTGACCAGGCACACACCTGCTTAGCTTCAGTGGGTTGCCAGTTGTGAGTTGCAGGGTGATATGGCTCCTGGATAGCGTATTTAGTAGTAGATTTACCAGTGCAAAAGGTTGGTTTTCTATGTAGCCCCGTCTGCATGATTTTTAAAATTTTGTTGTGTTTACATTCAATAAATAACAACTGTAATAGTTTACTACTCAACTCTGTGTGTGAATAAGAAAAAAATATATTTACTTTAGAAATACATTTCTAATTTGAACAAGAATTTTCTATAGTACTGTGCTCATGTATTGGCTGGACGTCATCAAGAAATGTTTTGACTAAGCAGTGCATTTAACTCTCTCCTCTCAATGGACTTCTGTTGTCAAGACATTTACTAAAGTGCTGATGAATGTGTATATTTGTAAATATAGAATATACACAAGACACAACAATGCAAGGATATATCTATTGTCCTGTTTTAGTACTACTATTACACGACTGGTGTATAGATGATTTAAAGGTCCTCCTATGTAAAATATAACCCTTAGGAAATTATCATGAACATGCTGACAACCATCCTGTGATTTCATTTTATTAAGTTTCACTTCTTTATCTTACAGGTGGTGCTGCCTCCAGTTTTTGTCTGCTTGTCTCTTATTTTTTCCCTAATTTCACCCCCTTTTGTGGAATACCCAAATCTTGAACTGCAGCCATGGATGTATGGATCTCTGCAGAAGACATTTTTCAGGTAATCTGGTGCTACAAAAATTATTTCAAAACTTTGAATAATAATCCCTGAGTCCCCTTGGGTTTTGTGTTTAAGACAAGGGATTTTCATTGCTAAAAGCATACAAATTAAGCAAAGGCTATTAATCATGGCTTTCTGACTTAACTTAATGTGCATACTGTTTCCCAACTCTGTACTTATAATTCTTATTTCTTATTATTTCAACTGAAGTTTTAGTTAAACTGAAGTTTTTGAGAACAAGAAAGTCTGCCCTTTCTATTTTTTTTTTTAAATAATGACCAGTCTAGAAAGAGATCATTTTTGAAAATGTACTGTGAAGTACTGTATCTGGGGTATTCAAATCAATGTGTTGAAAGAACACATTGAATAAATTTGCAATCAAACTGTAATTGTTGCTGTAACAGTATTTTCTGTGATTTTCTCTCCATTCTTTTTTTCTCCATTGAGAATTTGAATTTACTTATTAAATGGCCAAAAAACATGAATTGAAAATTCCTTCCATATGAGTTTTAACAATTACATATTGAATGAACCGAATTCATGAATATTGAATGAGCAATGGAACTGGTAGTTACTAAAAAGAACAAAAATTAAGGGTCAACATGTTATTATCAATCAATTAAGCCAATGTTTTTTTTATATATATACTGTGCAATATTTGTTTTGGTTCCAGTCTGAAAACTTAGTGTTTACCTTGCACATGACTGTTCCCTTTCTTGCTTTTAATCACTTATGTATCTTGCAAACTCAATCTCAGGACATCTTTCTGGGATATTGGATTTGCAGTACAATATCCTGTACCAGTTTATAACACATCATGGATATTTCTATTATAAATATACTGACAAACATCTTAACCAGCTGATAAGACAAAAATCCCTGACCACAGAAAATCCCCCATTGTTCCCAATGGTACCCACAAGACATGACAAAAGATCAATTACATCAGATGTCCTGTGTAAAAAAAGTCTTGCAACTCCACCAAGAAAAGCTCTTCAAGCCTCCATCATCAATGGAGTTGTAAGGATGCGAGGAGTCTCTGCGTAGTCCAGTGAAGGTTTAAGATGAGTTTAATTATTACAAAAATGGCCACTTCTGTAGAACACTGAAGGAGACACACACAAGGTACAGTATATTTCCCACAGTGCCCCAAATTGCAACAGTTTTACAGAGGTTCTTATAGTCCAGCCATGTTATCACCATGAGTCCGCATTCTACTTATGGTCCAGTGGCTATTCTTGATGATGTTATCCTGCCTTCCAGCTATTACTGTGTATGGTGTCACATACAGTACAACAGCAGGTATCTGTTCAAAATTCTCTCAAGCCAGGTCAGGAGACCAGGTCAACGACCCCAGGCCAGAGCCAGACATCTGCAGTGTGAAGCAGTGTAATGTCCCACATGAATGATATCAAGACATAGATACTGTATAGTGATTCCAGTTGAGAGAAATGTTACTGTTCCTGCAGGAAATCAGTAAGTGTATAATAAGATATAAAGCAATTTCTGTAGACATAGCTTGCAACATGGTATTTATACCATTGAAAAATATTAAGTAGGACACTGCCACTGCTGAGAATGGATCACATGTTGTTGTTTTTTCACTATCCTCTGAAAGAGCAATGTTTGTTTGCTTGTTTTTTTTGGTTTATAAAAGGATACTGTCAAAATGTTATTTAAGATTTATTCAGCTTAAAAATGAAACTAAATTTGAAGTCAAAAGGTTTACAGTATTTCTGTAATAACAGGTACTCATACTACTATCTAGTATTTGTTTGGCATACATACTGTATACTGTACAAAAATACTGATCTTTGGTTTAATGAACTAAAACTTTTATCCACTAGTAAGGATATTTCCCTTCATTCTACCAGGCATTCTACTAAATCTTTTGTGTCTTTGGTATTTCTTAATGAGATACACTGTAGAGCATCTTAAAACTTTATAGATCCATTTATTGCTTTATTTTCTATAGCGGGTAAACAGGATTGCATTGGCAACTGAAAAACTGAAGTTTACATTAAACCTTACCAATGGTTACATAGTCATCAGCCAGAGTGCAGAAAAGATAGCTTTCTGTAATCACATGGTGAATTATTGCTTGACCTTCACGAAAGAGGTTCTAAATTAATGGCACAAAAGAAAAGAACATTCCCAGCAACCTGCAATGACCAGTGCAGGAATTGATCTGTGACTGCTAATTAAATACAGTGTCATCATAGAACTGAATTAATTTATAGTTTGTTTTAAGGGGGTAAACAGCATCAGTGAGTTGGAATAACCCAAACAGGCCAGTAATAAAATATTGGATAAACCTGCAAAATAATTACAAAAAGCAAAAGTAAAGCAGAACACCTAACATTTTTTCAGCTGTATCTCACAAGGTTACTCAACTGTAAATACAGAATGTTGCCTTCTTATGTTGTATATTTACCACTGCCTTTAATGTAATATTATAAAATTCAGAGCAGGATTGGAAAAATATTTGCTATTACTTACAAGGAATGTGAAAGGAATTTTGGAAGTGTTTAATAACATCAAGTCACAAATCTGAATGAATCTGAAAAACTAGGTTTTATGCTTTACAAAGAGCACTTTTAATTCCACTTTTAAATATACAGTAAGCACACATTTACATATATGACCCTAATAACATATTATCATATATAATAATCCTAATGGTAGATTGGTTTATCTCCAGTGGTGACTGTAGTTGCAGCCTATTGCCACACTGATTCTACTGAATTTTTACAGATATTGTATCTGTGTGGAGACACAAGGGCTTCTCAACCAACATCAGCTGAAGCAACTTTCAACTTTCATTTTGAAGCAAATGTTTCTTCCTATTGTCTTATTTATTCAGGAATTTCTACTTAACCAACATTCTTAGCATTATTCCTTTATTATTAACTTGTCCAAAACATACTTTAACTCAGCTTTGATCAAATACTGTATAATGAAAGTGCACACACTTACTTTGACAAATTTCATGCCGCAGACATGCATTGTTTGCTTCTTGTCATTTTTTTCTAGAGACCTACAGTACAAGTACTGTATAGTAGGTAATAGTGCAGAATGGAACATGACATGTAGCATTTTCTACAGCATTTTCCAACAAAATAGAGATGGTCTTTAAAAGTCTCTAAAGTATCTGTTCTATGTAGTTTTTGAATGAGTTCACCAATTTCCACTTTTTATAAAACCCATGTTAAAGTAAAACAAAACTATTGTTATATTCAACAAATGTGTATTTACAAAGTTTTGAATAGATTATACAGGTTATATTTGTATGAAAATGTGGACTTTTCATACAGTACTATAGGACTTACACAGTACACAGTACACAGTAACATTATAAAGCTTATGCATCCTTGTGTTAAATCTATATTTAGATTTAAGACCTCTCTGTGACATTGTTATTGCCATTGTTGTTTGTATATATTTTCTTTTGTATTATTGCATATGATTTTAAAATCAAAATCTCAATGTCAGAGCTAGCATCCTCAGCCTAAATCATAAATGCTGATTCAAAAGTGAACATTGCTGTACAGTAACAGTACAGTAGAGTACTGTACAGTAGAGGCTATATCCACTAATACAATCTTATTGATATTGATGTTGCTGTCGGTTATATCTTTGCTGAGTAAAGTAATGAATATAGCAGGACTGTTGCAGAAGATACCTGTATTGGAACAAATGAAGGTAATGGATGGTAGCCAATAGTGACTAGCATCGCTCTATTCAACAAATATCAAAGCACTAGTAGAGAGAAAAATATATACTTTACTGTAAACATTTGTGAAACACTAGAATATGAGGCATGGTCTATTTAATCAAATCACATATTTTGCTTGTCTTCCAAAGCATGATCTCACTGTAAATGATAAATACAGTATATACTGTAGTTGTTTTGAATTTTACCTGTTTAAACTTTCATGTTTTGAGAATCAGTTCCAAGATATTCCCTGTATATCTGTGTCTGTTCTTGTAAGATCAGTGCTTAAAAGATAAGGTCCTGGTAATGGTTTTCAATGATGATTTGTCCTTTTAAAGAAATGGCAACTAATTTTTTATAAGAACCTGTATCTTGTTGCAGCAATGATGCTCCAGATAAAGTTGAAGTGCTGCGTGTGGCAGATTCACTAGTGGACCGTCCAGGCTTTGGAACACGCTGCATGAAAAACAACCCCATACTGTGAGTAACAGGCTGATTAAACCATCCGTTCCTAAATCTGCTTTCACCAGCAACTGTGTTACGGTGTAGAGAACTTCATCAATCTAATCTATCTTTGTTGAGCCTGATCATTATTACTGCTGTATACGAAGAAGAATGAAGCACATTTTATTTATTTTTTTCTTTTTGATGAATTGCAATGTAAATGCTTCCATGCTGGCAAGCTTCTCGGTTGCCTTCTTAAAATCTCATAATCTCCACAAACTTTTTTGATTTAGTTAGCAATAATGTAAGTGCAAGAGAGCACCCCAATATTCTGCATCAAGTTGAATGCACTTTTGTGTGAGACCACAAAAGAAATCCAACACTTGAGTACCTGACATTACAATACCAGAAAACTTTTGGATGAACACAGCAAACAGAACTATGACCACTAGTGTATTTTATATGACCATTATAAGTAAAGAAACACATTTCCATTTTCATTTAAATGACTGCTTGCTGAAATGAGACATAAAATCTCATTATTATAGATTTCACAAAGAAGGCTTCGTGATCTGACCCTTGTGAGACTTTCAACTATATAGACTGTACTGCTATATTTTTCAGTGATGCCCTCATTATCCTAGTGCATTATGGGAAACACAGTTCCTGGCATATGGCACATAACAACCACCAATAGTATTCCAGTTTAATTGTTCCCATGTATAATATTTCTAAATAGCAATCTTGTAAAAATAATTGGTAAATCCTCTGGAAGGAACTAAGAAGACTATTAAACATGAATTTTAGAGTGTAATTAGCTGGATTCTATTTGTAAATGAAGGTCCTGGGCCATAATAGCACCTAGAGATATTTCACATAATCTACTGTATATTGTACACAAAATATAATGTCTTAATTTCTTTAGTCCCCATTCTTTGTTTTGCTTTATATAAACTCTTGCTTAGCATTGTAGAAGGAATTCATAGTGTAGAACAAATTGTATAGAATATAGAAGTATACAATATCAAAGTTTACAGTAAAAACAAAAAGAGACACAAAACACAAAAAACAGATATCAGGGGTGCGTGGCTGTCCTGTTCTTTTTGTGTCTTCTTTCTATATTTGTGACAGAGTTTTACCTTTCATCTTTCTCTTGAACTATGAAAAATGTGTGCACTCCACCTGGCTTCAATATTCTTTTATCTTACCATGTACTGAAACACAGGGTGAATCCTTTATTGAATATTGTTTGGGTCTTAGAATTCTCCTCAGGAGATGTTATGGTTTACATGCATTGGCAGTCAGTAAAATTATTCAGTATATGTGATTCACATGTAATTAGTATCATGTGGTAACTAATTTCCATGCTCTGTATATTAGGAAAGTATTGTTACTGTTAGGGAATAGTCAAAATAAAATAATGGCATTTACCACATGCAAAACATAGTACTGCTCCTTTGGTTAGTAACTCCCTGAATAATTTTAATGAATAAATGAAATAATGAAAGGTGTCACTGTAATATATCAGAATTTTGGCAATGCTATTATCAAAGTCCAACTAGCTTGTAGTTCACTAGTGAGGCATTTGTCAAATATCCATGCTGTTACTTACTTTTGTTTTGTTCTTTCAAATATAACATTTATTATTGGGTATGCAAACATAGTCATAGTATTCAAATTAATTCACTGTGTTTGAATTTTAGTTTTAATAATAATAGTAAAATTATTTTTACATAATTCAATATATCTTTGCCGTAATAGAGCTGGCTTTTATGATTGTATAAAATCATAAATAATCATGTTTTGAGATCTGAAGATGCTCAGTGAGTGGTAATTAAATACAAATCATCATGACCTTTTATCTCGTACTAGTAAGTCCCTTACTATTAATAAATACTGTGGATGCAATATGCAAATAGTTTTCAGATTTTGCATATCATGTTCAACTTGAGGGTGCAAAAAAAATTAAATAAAGTTCTGATTACAATATGTAAAAAATATATTATTTTAGACCCTGTGTATAAAAACCCTAAGGTCTCAAAAGTCCATCCCAACTCAATATCAATAGACAATAAGCACATCCACTTGAATCAAATTCAATGCATTAATACAGTTTTTTTTCTGATGAACAAAGATTTAAATCTCTTGAAGCACCTCTGGGATATCACTGATCATCATGGTGGACCACTATGCATGTAATTGCAGCCCCTAGTGGAGCTTGAGATGGAACTCACAAGAGCACCCTTCACTTTGTATAAATTACATACCACCTTGATGACAGCATCTCTAAAGCAAATACATATTTTGACTATATATTATAGTATTACCATAGGTACTGTATCCCCAAACTCTGAGACATTAGTAGTACAGAAGACTCCTGTTGTATTACTGGAGAAAGTAAAGAACATCATCAAAAGATGTCAGTAATCAAGCATTACTATAACAAGAAGATTGAGTAGGGGGCTGTGTCAGCATTTGGCTGCAAAGGAAAAAGTAAAGGTCAATTCCATACCGAAAAGGAGAAAGAAGAAACACAACATACAGTATCGTATGTTGAGCCTTCTTTAGGTGTCACACTGAAGAATGTAAGATGAAGACAAGGAAATTTTTTAGTTTGCCTACCTGCCACATTGATTTACAGACGATGCAATATTATGCTTTCTGGTTCAGCTACTAATTCTCATTTCACAGTAAATTTACCATCCAAATGTACCATTTGAACCTTTGAGTTAAGTTTGGTATTCCAAGCAGACAGTGAATTGCAGACTGGGGGATCACTTTCTGTTTTACCTTGTTAGCTTATACTGTACTTTATTATACTCATTCACAATTCTCCAGTTGCTTCTTTGGCACAATCTAGAAATGCAGCTGCAGTTATTAAAGACATATATATTAATCTGAGTTTATTTTGATAATATTTCTAATGAAATTTTGAAATTAAAGCTTTGAATGACACAAGTAAACCATTAACTCTTTTCACAAAATTACTATTCTATTTATAGATTATTTCTGTTTATATTTTTAAAACATAGAAGGTTTAATATTTATTACATAGACTAGAAAATCCAATAGGAATGTCAGCATCAGATACTGAAATGGTATATACAGTACAGTTAATGACTGCTTCCTTACTCATCTTGTCAGAGTGCCTACAAGAGGGAATGCCTGTATTGATCTAGCTTTTTCAAACAATCTGGATAGAATAAATAAAATAGAGGTGAGAGAACCGTCAGATAACTGGTAAGGTTGTATGATATGTTTTGAAGTATATTCTGAAACTTCACAGGCAGAGTTCAAAACTAAGGTTTAAAACTTTGGGAAAGTAGACTGTGAAGGAGTGAAACAGAGCTTAAGAGAAGCAGAATGCAATAGGATAGTTATGGAATCTCTAGAAAATGGATTGCAACATTTTAAAGATATTTTGCATGATACAGAAAAGATTAATGTAAGTAGATCCAAGGCCAAAGATCAGTGGCACAGTAGGTTTAATTGATCAATTAAGTAAAAAAAGAGTACAAAAGCACTTTATAAAATAACCATTAAAGACCAGGATACAGTAAGAGAAATAAATATATTGAATCAGAAGCACAAATAAAAAAAGTATATTAGAAAGGCCAAGAGAGAGATAGGGAATAATACAATAAAATACATAAGAAAATATTTTTTCAGTATAACACCAGCAAAAAAAACGTAATGAATGAAATATCTTACAGATAATAATGGAAATCATCTACAGTAGGTGATAAAGGGGAAGGGGTTGATGTATTAAATAAATATTATACTCAGGTGTCCAACAAGGAATAAAAAGCCTCAGGCTTTTTAAGTAATGTACAGTAAGTATAGAAGAGGTGAAGGCTTTAAAGGTACTAGAGGCTCTTAAAGAATCTCATGAGCCCAGTATATTTAAAATAGTTTTATTCAGTGAATTAGGATTGTTACTCATAGGCAGTTAACAAAACTTTACCAGTAGTCTCTCAGAACAATGATAATGGACTAGAAAATCGTTAATCTTGTATGAATCCTTAAAAAAGTGATGAAATGAAGCAAGTACTGTAATTACGGAGAAGTAAGTCTATTTGTACTGTATATTAAATGTAAGGTTAGGGAAATGATTCAAACTAAAAATCTGTACGCACTCTAAACAGTATTCTAGGATATACAGTTGACAGCGTGGATTTACAAAAGTTACAGTACATTTCATTTGACTAACTTGTTAGAGTTCTTTGAACAAGCAATACCAGTGACTGATAAAGAACATACAATATGGCATATTCAAATTTTTCATAAAGCTTTTGACAAAGTGACTTATAAAAGATTAATTGTCCAACTCTAGGCAGTAAACATTCAAGGCTATGTACTGTACTGTATCTGTTAATACTTGTTAATACTTGAAAACCTGAAACCATTGGAAGTTTTCAGAATCAACAGAGAAAGATGAACCAGATAAAACAAGTGGAAACTATAGGGATGATTAAAACAAAAAAGGAGAGAGAACATTACATAAAAGGCTGTGGGAGAATTATCACTCAATGTTGCCAAAGTCATTACCATCAGTATTTTGGGTTGCATGGAACCATTGGATTAATTAGCTATTAGCAATCAAATAAACTGGATAGTCCAAATGGTCACCTATAATGTCTTGGTTGTTTCATGCTCTAAAGACCTTTGGAAGACCTGACACTAAATAAACATCTTTTTTTGCAGGAAACTTCCTTGTGCTTCCAATGGGTCAGACTGGTTTACTCCTTCAGTGCCACCTTTAATCTCAGAAATGTTTGCCAATGGGAACTGGACTATGGCCAACCCCTCTCCTTCCTGTCAGTGCAGTACTCCGGAGAAAACATTCACGTTGCCTGACTGTCCTGCAGGGGCTGGAGGAATGCCACCCCCCGAGGTAAACTTGAACAGTTTGTGGTCTTTCGTGTTGTTTCTCAGGTGGATAAAACAGGGTTCCTGGAAGCTGTGTCATCTTATTTAAAGTGACTGTCTTTAAATATCTTAAAGCAAAATGATACAGAAACCAAAAACATAACAACTATCAGAAATTCATTCAAGACACTTATTGAATTATAGGTTAAAAAATATAAATGGAAGACAAAATCACAATGTATTTTTGCCTGATAAGCACAATTTTGAAACCCATTTTTACTGCTGACTTTTTGTTTGCTGGAAGTGCTGTTATTTACAGTTTATGTTGTCTTTGTTGTCAAGTAAATTGGATTATCGCATCACTCAAGGTGAGCCTTATTTTCTCAGAATCCTGTGATGTAAAAATATCTCTAAGCAACATGATATTGTCAAGAATTTTCAAACCCATAGTCAATTGTATAAATGGCTTCTTCAATACTCTGCATCTGGTTCTGAGCTGTGCTGTTTAATAATAATAATAATATTAATAATAATTGCTTACACTTATATAGCGCTTTTCTGGACACTCCACTCAAAGCGCTTTACAGGTAACAGGGACTCCCTTCAACAACCACCAATGTGCAGCCCCACCTGGATGATGCGACGGCAGCCATAGTGCGCCAGAACGCTCACCACACATTAATAACATTACTAAATGTTATATAAGTATTATAAACATGTTATGGCTATTTTTGTGTTACTCGTCTTTTAGTTTTACTACATAGCCAATGCTTCTTAACATGCTCTCATAAGTATTATTTTTATTTTTCTTTGTTTGCCTCATACTGGAATATCTCATGAAGGACATACAGTACTGTAGTAGATGGAATGCTTAGGAATAAGAGTATGGATTTGGGTTAAGACTACAATTATTGTTATGGCTAAGATTATAGTGAGAGTTAGGATTAATATTTGGGTAAAGGCCAATTAATGCATTACAATAGCATGCTCTTTTAATGTTTTTTTATCCAAATTAAAAACTTTTGGATTAAAGATGGCTTATAACATAATATGTTCAAATGCTAGATAAACCTAAGGTTTGAGTTAAAGTTAGAATTTGTTTGTGTGTGTAGTATTGAAATAAAGACTAAAAACTCATAGGAAAATATGTACCAGGACTACTGTAGCAGAGATTTAATTCACAATACGTTTAACACAAATTCCTAGAGATGGGATGAAATGTTTTTAGGATGCTCCAGTACAGCTTTTGAGGACAACATTGGAATTCCCTTCTTATGGAATACTGCTATTACTTTAACTAAATGTACTTTATGTACTGTACATATTGTATTTTTTCCATTGCTATAATTACTGTTAAAATGTACGTGTATCAACTGTATAGGGCTCTCCTTCAACCTGTCTAGACTTCCTGCAGCTGATTATCTGGTATTACTTTAAATAAGAAGAAGATGAAGAAGAATAGCAAATGTCTGATTGGAATTACAGATAAATAAAACATTTGAGATTTTAATTATCATTCATATCAATCTCATTACGCCAAACAAAAAATTGGTTGGCAGTAAAGCAAAAAAATCAGTTTTCACTTTGCTCTCCCAATACCTTTGGAGGGCACTGTAGCAGTGGGAGGATTTGTTACGCAGCAGGTCTCTATCTATTACCCTGAAAGTCTGACAGTTTTATTTGGAGAACTGGTAGAACATTCAAAATTTACACCTGCCAATGAGTGCTGTCCTCCCTCTCATTTCTCCTGATAAATTGGCTAACGCTGAGTTTTTTTTTCTCTTATTGCTCTCAGTACCTAATTTCATTTCTATAAAAAAATGCCAAGGTGAAGAATATGTGTCTGTTAGAAGTTAGTCATTTTAAGGTAAGCAAGAGAAAATAAGATCTCATAAACATGAAAGTACATTATGATTTCTTTATTTTCATGTGTCAAATGAGTTATATGCACTGCAACAACTTGTTATTAATATCTGACTTATTCAATATCTGATCTAATTCATATCTGGAATTAATATTGTGGAAAAGTGTCTTAAACTGAAATGGCAAATGTATTTCTAGCATTTGTTCCCATAATAATTTTAAGAAAAAAAAACAAGCAAGGTCATGCACAGTATGTAAGGAAGGGCTTCTTCAATTTCTACTCAAAGCTTAACCATAAATTAAGAGACAGGTAATTTCAGAATTATATAAGCATCTACACTCAGAGAAAAAGATTGGCACATGTTATTTTCATAATCACAATTCATTACAGTGTTAATGGGCTCAGTAACAGACTCAATAGCACCATCAGCGCTGAATGACTGAATGTCACAAACCTTGGAAAATCCAAATAGAAAGGATGGGGAATGTATTATCACTACTGTATATCCCTGGATTCACCAATACCTTTGCATTCCTGAATAGATGCCCACCTCTTTTATATATATTAAAAGTTATTAGAATTTAAAATGACTATTTTATAAAGGTTGGGAACAACATGTACAGTACTGTACACCGAAACTGTGGACAGTGATGCTTTATCACTCTAATGTCTGACATTCTAATATATTTGGAGATTTTTCTTCTTATTTAATAATATAATTTGTTTATAGTCAGAATTGTTTCCTTCATAGCTAGGGCCATACTTAATTCATGATGTTGTTGAAATTGTGGATCCCGCAATGTTATGCTTGTATTGCAATTGCAATTTCTAGCACTGCACTAGGACTGCATTATAAAACAGGGCTTCAAGTGGTACTTCTGAATGTTACAGAATCTTAGGGTTTGATTTTTACTTTGTAGCACACTCTTTGAGCACAGTCG